ACTATCAGCGACATATGGGCTCCCACAGGCCGACGATCAAGTGTCCCCATCAAGATTGTGGGAGAATTTTTAGTCGGAAAGACAATATGGTACGTTGCGCACGCATTTACTTCGCGTTACATATTCAGTTCACGAAAGTAAACTTTCTTTAAAAACATGGGCTAACACGACTTACAGAGAGAACACTTCAAGAAAATTCACTTGCGGCTGCGAAACAATTTGTTTCCTCGACCTTGCCGCCGGCCTCGTCGTGGTGAACGTTCAAAATCCCCTGTCCTGAAAGTCGAGACTGAGTAGCTTTGGATTTCATTCAGGTGGCGTCGAGAATTACCATTGTATGAGACACTTGGAACTTAATTACCAGCAGGCCGCATGGTGTTTGGAGAATAAGGGTATAGCTAGTTGCTAAGTCGGTTTCGTGGTCCATCTTGGGGGCTGAGCACAGAGTTGCGGAAACAAATCATATGAATAGAAAGATCTAAAATAAAAGCGTTTGATTGACAGATTCATGCGACCATTGAGATTGTACCGTACAGCCCTGCGGGAAAGTCCTTGCGCCAAGGCGTCAGCCCTCGCCCCCTATCCGTCCCCCTCTGTTTTAGTACAACCCAAGGTAGAGGAGGCCATCACCTCATCCCGTAGACTCAACTTGCGATCATGTCTTTTTGATAACCCCTCGCCTAGTTTATGCCCAAGAATCGCAAAATACCAGAATCGTCAACTATGCGAGGCATAGGTTGCGCGCTCCAGGACTCGGACCTTCTGGGCCTGGAAGGCCTGGTCTGATGATTGGCAGCAACTTGTTTACCACGAAATGCCAGAATCGGAAATGTCGAAACATTAGGTAAGAGCTGATTAACTTTCTATTGGTCTCAATTCCGTCCGAAGTCGATTTCTGGTCCGTATCAAATGCCCACCCTTCTTTTGGTTCCGCTCGAAATCTCCGACTTGTTTGACATTGTCGGCGATAATTACGCTAGCATTGTTAGCAAGGTGGCTGGGGAGGCAAAGGGTAATAATCCGCCGGGTAACGTCTAATCCGAATAGAGCTTTTTGTTTTCTTCCAAAAAGGCTTCTAGACCCTTTCTCCGGCTTAAGTTTCCGGCGGCTCGATTCGGCGACGTGCCGATGAAGCTTTGTCGTATGCTGGAACTGTATTGGGGGTGCTTCTTTGTAGGCAATCGTATCCGCCGCGTCGACCTCGCCGTGACGATGATCTTACAATGCCGAAGGTAATTCTAAACAGTTCATATAATTCTTTATGGAGAGTTGTCTTCCACTGAAAGTAAAGCACATACGCTGCCCAGAAAAGACTCTAACTCTCGGCCCAAAAGACTTCCACATTACACACATTGACCCAAGAAGTTGACATTTCCATCCTACAAACCTCGTCGATCAATCTTCTGAAACTATCGCCAAGTGACGGCTATGAACATTCCATTGCCGAATCTCCTGTGGGGAGAGCGACGACATACTCCAAGCCAAGCTTCACAGCCTTGCCAGCATTGAGCTTCACCTGCCACTCCACTTGGCCTTGACGCCCCTTCAACGTTGCCGCCGCCTGGCCCCAGTCAATATCCTGCTTACCCTCACGAGCGGGCTGCCCGGTGGAGGCTCCTGAACCGTCGACAACAAGCCCCTTGGGTGCCAAGACATCCACCCTGAGACGCTCGTCTTCCGACACGGGAACCTGGTCCAGCACAAGAAGCGAGACGGGTTTACCCGCCGAAGCACGGGAGTTGAAAATAGTGATGCTGCGACTGTACACGGAGCTGTTCTCCTTGGAAAAGAGCCCTGTCGTCGTTCGTCGGACGTCAACCTTGGGGTAGTTGACCTTGATCGCCGGGTCGATGCCGAGACCCAGGGAAAAGACGTCACCGGCGCTACAGCGCGGCAAGTGGGTGCGGCCCATGAAGGTACCGTCGAGAGTGAGACCTGCTTCGGCCCGGAGCAATGTCAGGCGGCTGCTATTGCGAATTCGCGATTTGAGGTAGGCGACGGGTTTGTACTTCGCAATGATGGTATGGCTGAAGGCGATGTTGGAGAAGCTGATACGAGCGACTCGCTGCTTGGATGCCGTAGGACGAGGCGGCAACGTCTTTGTACCTGGAAGGTCGTAGGTTGTAGTGAATCCCGTCTCTTCGATAGTAGATTCTTGGAAATCGAGGTCTTCGTCTTCCTCGGATACTTCGGATCCCATGAACTCTTGAGTTGTCCTCTGAGGTCTCCATTGATGAGGCGAAGGAGCTGATCCACTTTGGTGCATTCGCTGCATTTGTGGCATTTGCTGCATCTGCTGCATCTGTTGCACCTGCATCTGTTGCGCCTGCATTTGCGCCTGTATCTGATCCTGGTGCTGTGACTGTCCTTGCCCTTGTGCTGGATACATCATTCGTCGGTGCTTTGAATCTTGATTAAGTACCATCAGGCCTTTCTGGTAATCCGCGAGATTCGTGGCGCTGTTGCTGACATTATTGCAGTCCACGCCGAACAAATCATTGCGAGGTTTTTGGGGCTGTGCTTTCGTCTGTTGAGCCCGCCACCATTCACTTCGTTGCTGGCGTTCCTCCCTACTGGAAAGGATGTCCGTCTCGTTTGCGTTGCCTTCTTTTGGTGCTAACTTGATGTTCCAAGGCTTGAGCGTGGGTATGGCGTTCTCGAGCCCGGCAAATGTGGCTTGAGAAGTCGAAAGGATAACTTTGCAGTTGCTCCACGTCTCGGAAGTTTTGTTGGTGATGCGGGCGTCGTAGCACAGTGTGCCCGTGTTGTTCGTGGTGAACAATTGCAAGTCATAGCTTGGAGCCCAGAATGCGGAAGATGTCACATATGACAGTGATAAGTCGCACTTGATGTCTCTTCCCTCGTCGGTCTTCTCAGGAGCTGGCGTCCAGGCCTGGGCTGTCTCACTCGACACCGATGTACGACGAGAGGATGATGGGGTGAAAGCCATTACCTCGAGAGACACCCGGACAGAGTAACACAACTTGGGCCAAAAGCGCTCCCGCTCCGCCCGAATCCGAGCTTTCTCCTTCTTCAACTTCGTTCTCTCCCTAGCATCCTTTTGCGCCTGTCTGTCCCGCTCCTTCCGGGCTTTCTTCATTGCACGAGTCGCGTCTGCCGCCTCTCTCTTTTCTCTCTTCACAAGCCGAGTTTCTTGCTTGAGAGCGATGCTGAGGCGCTTCATGTTGTCCTGTCCGCGGGTGACTCCGGCCACGTGGTCTTGGAAGATTCGTTCTCGCTCAGCTCGGTAAGTTTCGATGCTGTCAGCGATATTGACGCCTTCTTTGCTCTCGAGTGAAGCTCCGTGAGCATCGAGGATCTTGAGACGATTGGCTGCGCTTTCGACCACTTCTTTAGCGCTGCGTTCCTCGTCTCTCAGCTGTCTTATCCGGGCTCGCACTTTGTCGAGGGGCGACGGTTCTGTCTCCTCCGATTCTTCTTCATCTTCTCCGTCTTCTTCGTGAGGGACATCGGCATCCGACATTTCGTCATCAGAGTCAGGATAGACATCTTGGAAGCTCTCGCGGTTGGGGATAAGCTCAATGGCGATGTCGGTGATGATGGCTGAGCCGGCCCCGTCTACCTTGATTGTAGACTCATCAATTGTGGGTGTAAGACCGAATATGGTGATTTCGTTAGCGCCGGGCTAGTTCTTCGTTAGTTGTGGGACGAGACACCGCAGGGGACACAGGTATCCTCACCTTCAGTTGTAGGTTGCGCAAGTCCCTCACGACTTGGGCACTGCTGGGATAGAGTGTGACGGATCGGGCGGCCAAATCTCGCACATGGTACTCCTTGTTGTGAGTAATGTCTGACATTTTGGATGACTTTCGTGGTCTCGCTGATATGAGTGTGTTGGCAACTTGGCTGTAGTGGGGAAACTACGAGACCTGAACGAGTGTAACAATTGGTGAGATTCAACGAGAAGAGGGGAAAAAATGAGAAGAGAGTAGATGAGAAGAAATTGAGTTGAATTGATGCCAGTTAGCAGGACAGAATTTCGGAGGGCATTCGTATGATACTTATAGTTGTGGTGGGAGGCGGAAACGAGGCAATGCAAACCAGCGGCCAAGAATAGGGTGGCCGCATCCTGTTGCCTGATGAGCTAGACAACTGCTGCGGAATTCCATCGTCTCCCCCGCTCAAACTTTCATCCGAGAACTAGGGAGCCAATAAGTGCCGGAAATTGATTTAATACGTCTACATAACCATTTCGATCTGGATCGAAGTTTGAAAGACTCAGGAACTTTGATGCCTGTGATAGGGATGTGTTTCCCGATTGACGAAATGCCCTCAGGGAAAAAATGAGTCGCTACACATGATGAAGGTGCATTCAATACGGTAGAAACAGGCTGCCATGTTTAAAACAAGGATGGTGACTGACCAGTCTACCCTAGTGATACAACTTTTTGACCTTCTCGTTCATGAAAAACCCCAGTTTGTCGGCGTCTTTGGGCACATGCTTCGGGTGTAGCATCTCTGGGTCAAGTACTCAGCTGAGCCAATTAGCCTTCTCGTTTACTTCTGCGGACCAGCGTCGAGTCTTCGTCGCTCGTCTCTAGCAATCCGTCCAGGCTGAGTAAAATAACATGGAGGTTAGACGGATCATTCATCAAAATGCCAGCGGTTTGACTATCTCAACTGCGATCCAGATATGAAGGTGACAAAGGACAGATTAGCACACAGGTTGACGCGAGTTGGCGGCTGTTGCTGTGCGACACTACCATTGCTTTTATGTCTTAATGACAACTTAGCAGTGCGAGCTTACGCGAACATTAACCTCAATTCATAGGCCTGCGACATAGCGCGAGGTTCCTTTTTCATTATTAGCCTACTGAAGTCGGTCGTGACGACTAGAGAAGTCTAAGTCTTCTCTTCTTCTTTTCCAAACTGGACAAACCACAATCAGCGAGACCGTACTCCAGGCCATCATTTAGATCCACCCAGGATATCATTATTTTTACTCCATTCCCACTCCAGAGAAGTTACGCGACGATGCTTTAGAGAAGCATCGCCATCCCAGCCACAAGACTAACAGCCACTGCCATAGCAGCAGCGCATCCAGCCCCTATTCTACCAGCGTCAGCCATGACGTTTCCGCTGGACGTCAAAAACGGCTTCTCTGCGACGACGCGGATATTATCGACGAGCCGATCTTTATCAGGCGTGTATGTCGATTCCACAAAGTTGCACTCCTTCATGATGAAGTCCAGGTCTATTTCCCGTTAGTCCGCGTTTCAAAACCAACCAAGCATCTCTTTTAATGGTAAGGAGTAGTAGAAGAATATTGCACTCACTGTTTGCCCGGTTTCCAGTCTTCCGGATACAACTCTGACAAAGCCCAGCCAGCAACTGCACGTCGAAGCTCTTGTTCGAACAAGTACACTGCTTCTCGGCTTCTTCACGGTCGTTAGGCGACTTGTTATCCGGTTGCTTCTCCGAGCCCGGTCCCATGATGGGTATCGCAGCCGGGTTGCTCATAGACGCCTGAGGAGGTTGAAGCTGCTGTGGTGGTGTCGGCTGGAGCATCGGGGGTGTGGTTTGCTGAGATGATGAAGGAGCGGGTTGCTCTTGCGGTGGCGGTGGCGGACGTTGAGGCTGCTGCTGTGGCGGCGGCTGTTGGGCTGGAGGTTGCTGAGGCGCGGGCCTTGACGTCGATGATGGTGGAGGAGGTGGTGGCGGTTGTTGAGGTCTCGGGGCTGTGATCACCGGAGGCGGCTGAACCGGAGGCGGTGCTTGGATCGGGGCCGGAGCTTGCACCGGAGGTGGGGCCTGGACGGGCGGGGGAGCCTGTACCGGTGGAGGCGGCGGTGGCGGCGCCGGAGTGGGTATCGTCGGCGCCGACACAGTCAGGAACACAGTGGATGTGATCAAGACAGGCACAGGCGGCGGTACCTGTGGCGGAGGATCTATTGATGGCGTCGCCTGTGGTGGAGGAGGAGGCGGTGCCGAGGGTGTAGGTGTGTTCTGGGCATCCGGCGTACTCGTGCTCAACGGAATCTCCGGTGCGGGGGCAGAAAAGGGCAGCGTGGCAATGAAGCCGAGTGTAGCATCCACGGCCGGCTGCTGCGCGTCTTGGGCAGGTTGTTGCGCATCTTGAGGAGGCTGTTGTGCAACATTTGTAGCTTGAGGCTCGTCTAGGCCGGGTGTCGATGCCTCGACCGCGTCGTTTTGGTTTGGTCTGCGGTGGTGGTGGCGGCGAACGACTCCGTGTGCGCCTGCTGGTGATGGTCTCTTCGCCTGTCGTCTTTCTGGCGGCGGTTTGTATTGCGGTGCGTCGACTTTCCTCCTCTTCAGTCTCTTGAGCTCGTCGAAGGTATTGTCAACGTCGCATTTGAAAGTAAGCTCGACGATGGGCCCGCATATTGTTGCGCATTCGACGGGGACGTCGTCGACCTGGACTTCTCTGGCGCCCGCTAGCACCGCGAGGCCCGAGAAGACCAGAACTGATGCCTCTTTTCCTCTCATCCTGTCCGGTTCTGAATAATCTCGGCAAAGCACGAATTGAAAACTCTCAAGGTCGATGAGAAGGTATCGAAGGACGCATAGGAGAGTCAACTCCTTTCGCTCGCTGGTCGCAAAATTATGGCAAAGTCACAATACAAGCCCACGCAAATCAATAGAAAGAAGATCATCCGCACATCATCCAAAGGAGAAATAGATACTCCAAGCCCCAACACCTATATCAGACAGTCACATCTCTCCCTACACGCCGTCTCTCACACACCAGATCCTCAGTCTCAGGACGCAGCCGCTTCCCGCACACAGCAGACATGGATGAAACGGCAGCTCAAGCTTCAGAGGGGAAAGGGAAAAAAGGTTGGACGGAAGGAAAACCAAACACTCCCAGTGCTTACTACCCCGGACCTAACGAAATTGGCCACCCGGCGCGCCTATCAAGCTTCAAGACGGTGCAGAATACTCTAAAAGAAAGTTGTGGACCAGGAGGGGGGGCAAGATGAGGCACAAGGGGCACAAGGGGTAGTGTGCGTGGGAGATTGTGAGCTGGTGAGGAACGCAAGACGGCTTCATACCCAAACTGGCAAAATCTGGGTTCGAACGACTCGTCTTACATGTCTCGGAAACAAAACCATCGCATGGGGAGAGGCTAGGAGGAGGGGAACAAGGGGAAGCACAATCCCTACCCACATCCTCTCTCCCTCTATCCACGGATCTTCACTAACCCCAGTGCCCAAGTCCTGGACTCCTGACTGAGACTCGAGACTCGTGCGCGCTGGGTGGGAAGAGTGCAACGTGAAACGCGAACAGACCGCGCCGACTCGCCAATCGCAATGCATCACGATGGCCGCGGACATGGTCCATCCTCTCAATGCTTCCCATGGAATGGGGACGCTGACGATCAGAAACAGTCCACTATGGTAGAATCAGGAGAGTCGATTGATGCACGTAGCAACTGGTATCTGAGGCTCTGCGTTGATGACGAGCCTATTGATGTTTATTTTACTAGTGCCCCGCGAGGTTTTGAAACAGTCCTTGCTTGCTTGAACTTGTGGTCAAAATGATGTAGCCGATAATCGTAAAGGTAGATGATGAGCAGTGAGAGAAAGCAGTCAGTGAGAAGATAAGAAAGCAGTGAAGCTGGCATGTAGCGCAGCTCATGGTGAGCATTCCGAGTCTAGAACCCGCAATCTCCCTCCTGCACGCTCCTCAGACGAACTCGCGAGCCGGATGTGAGGAGTTCCTTTTGGATGCTAAGAAAGAAATATCTCAAGTTTTCAACATGAAACGGCAACTTGAGAATGGGACGAAAAGAAGAGCACACGTATCGGATGCGCATTGAGGAAAGCGAAGTAAGCTTCTAGGACACAGCTGCTGGTGCTTGCTGACTTTATTCCGTTCATGTCGGCACTAGTTCTGCCTTTTTCATCTGAGTCAGTCTCTAAATAGCTATCGCTAGCTTAGAGGATGGGTTCCTAAATCGTGATGATCGAGCTGTTAATACTCGTGCGAGGCTCATGGTCTATTACGATAGCTTCTGTTGATGGTGGCTTTCTTTACAACCCTAAACTGTCTCGTAGAATATTAGGTAAGATATAGTCTATACTTCTTCCACAAGTCCCCATAAGAAGAGCAAAGCTCAACTCCTCCCCCGTCTCCCAACACTCTCAACTCGAACCCCCAGCTTGGCCATCTCATCAGCATCAATCACCCCTCTCCCATCAAACACCCACCTCGGAACCTGCATATCGCCCGCCACCCTCTCCCAGTCAACCCTCTCCTTGGCCATCTGCCCCTCTTCCGCCCCTGGTCCATGACTGGCAAGTCCCGAGACCTTGCAGTCCTCCTCCTCCGCCCGACAATCCGGGCAATCTCCCGAACAAGCAGGCTCAGCAACGTATCGCCCGAGTGGATCATCCAAAGTCGCCGCGCCCATCTCCCCCTTGCCCAGCGTTGGTCTCACATCCGACTGCCGAAGCTCTTGACCCGCCCCCTCCGCCGCCCGCGATGTCGTGCTTCCGCGGGGAGAAGAAGGACCAGAAGGTGCAGAACCCGGCGTATCCCTGACGCCGAGCTCACCCGTGTTCCGAAACTCGTCAAACTCGGTGGTGATGAGAACCGCGTTACTACCACGACAAGCGTCGTACGCGTTCCCGTACACAACCAAGGGTCCAGTGCCACCGCCGTCGTCCTTTGACCTTGTCGTCTGTGGGCCACAGAACTGCTGGATCTCCGCTTGAATCACGAGAGGATTACAGCACGGATCAAACACCGCAATCTCCCGTGGTCCCTCCTCCGACAACGCCCGAATAATCTCCAGCGCAGGCGACTCCCTCGTATCCGACGTATCCTTCTTGAAAGCATACCCGAGGACAGTAATCTTCTTCCCAGCCAGGGTATTATTCAGACACTTGACCACGCGCCTCGTGAACCTCTCGCGGGCGTACTCGTTCATCTTGACCACCTGCCGCCAATACTCCCCCACCTCGTCGAGATCAAGCGACTCGGCAAGGTACACCAGGCTCAAAATATCTTTCTTGAAACAACTGCCCCCGAACCCGATGCCCGCTTTCAGGAACCTGTCCCCGATACGTGGGTCCCGGCCCACGGAAGCAGCAACTTCATCTACATCCGCGCCCGTCCGCTCGCAGATTGCGCTGATGGAGTTGATACTGCTTATCCGCTGCGCGAGCATCGCGTTGGCGACTAGCTTCGCGAGCTCAGATGACCAGACGTTTGTCGTGAGGATGCGTGCGCGGGGGACCCAGGCAGCGTATACACTCGCCAGCGCCTCGGCTGCGCGATGGCCCGAGGACGTCGTGTCTGCGCCGATGAGGACGCGGTCTGGGTGCAGGAGGTCGTTTATGGCTGTGCCTGCGGCGAGGAACTCTGGGTTGGAGAGGATTTCAAAGTGTACGCCAGGTCGATGGGCGGCGAGCTGTTCAGATGCTGCGTTAGCTAACCTGTTGACGTACTTTGTGAGCTCACTCGTCGATGATGTGGACTCACTGTCTCTCGTACAAGCTCCGCGGTCCGGCATGGCACGGTAGACTTTTCTACGATAATGGCGCCCGGTTGTGCATGTCTGGCCACCTCGGCGGTGACGGCTTCAAAGGCCGCCATGTCCGTTGCGCTGCCGGCGCCGTGACCCCTCGTTTTTGTCGGGGTGTTGACCGCGATGAGGACCACGTCCGCTTCTGAGATGCATTTCGAGACGTCTGTCGAAAAGAAGAGATTCGGCTGCCTAGGAGGGACCGAGATGTTGCTGATGATATTTTCACCACATTGACTTCCGCACTCAGATGTGACTGATGACGATGGCGAAAAAGTCTCACAGTGTCCCGGCCTGGCGTGATGGCTGGAGATAGATGCTGAGTCTTCCTTGGTACCGTCCCTGGCGACTCGGACAATATCTCGTAGCCCAGGCTCGTAGATGGGAGGATGCTTCGAGTTCCACCTCCTGATCCGGCGCTCATCTCTATCCACGATCGTGACGCGGATGTTAGGATTCTTGAACGCGATAACCGCCGCCGTAGGTCCCCCTGCACTAAAGGTCAATTTCCTGAGTTCATGGGACTGCGCATCTTATAATTGCGACTTACCCACGTAGCCAGCGCCTACACAACAGATGTTGCGAACCGGACCGTTGCCACTGTTTCCAGCGGAGCTCACCTCCTCGGCCTTCGTATCGAGCTGAGGATATACATCCTCGCCAGCTTCTTCGCCTTCAATGACCAGCTGGCTCGCCGCTCTGACGACAGGACTGAAAGTGCAACTTCCCTCAGGTGTCGTTGGAACCGTAGACGCCGCTCGCTCATACACATCTTCATTCCCAAGAACAACGTTGATATCGTAAATACCCGCCATTGTCACAGCCGTAATCAAGCAATTTGAGCAGACCTTGTCCCAGCTATCGCTCTCTCTGGTCTCCAGAACCCGATCTGAATATACCCCCAAATCGCTTCAATCCGAAAAGCACGATAACCAAACTCGCCCGGCTAGCTGGCTAGTGATTTCGTCCGATGGTAAAAAAGGGCGTTCGTTTCACTATCATCAATTAGGAATGGTCCCCCAAACGGTGGCGGCCGTGCGGGAACGAACCCGGTCTGGCTGTAGATCTGACGTGGCTTTTCAAGGCGCGCTGGTGCTCGATTTAGCAACCGTCCGTCTGATGATCGAGCTTTTTACTGACCTAAAGCCAGTGATGAACGATGAACAATGAGCCCTTTATCAGCTTCAAGAGCTTGACGCGCGTCAATGTAGGGTGATGGTGATTGAGGAGACGCGGCGCGGCGGTCAAAGTTGCCGGTTTCCGAGAATGTGATGTAAGCTGGGGGGGAGATGGAGGTTATAGCTAGATGTGGGATGGATCCTATGTAGATTGGAGGTGTAATATGGCATAAAGAGCTTCAGGCAAAGAGTTCATGCGACGTCTGAACATGAAAAATGGCAGCGTCGACATGACCTTTGTAGGGTCGGGTCGACGAAAATGCTAGTTTGTACTTTGATCCCGATAACGGCCGAGCGTATGGCGAGTTGCCGATGAATGCATAGCTACGAGTTGACAACAGCACGGCTTATCGTCGAGTATCAAGGCAGTTGGCCATGAGATCTCCGTCGAGAACATCACGATGGCCCCCGCCCCGCTACGATGACCCCTCCAACTGATAGCACTTCGAGCCGGCACGGCTGATGGGAATTCAGCGAATTGCATCCTCGCAAAGATCCAATCATGCGGGCGACAGACCACGATTCGTCAGGCTTGGGCGAGGTAGCCGTGGAATCTACACCAGAATGTATAAATCGTGGAAAAGAGGTTGCCGATAAACCTCACCCAACCGGAGGGACCACGGGCATCTAGATACAGCCCGCGATTCGCCTTCTCGACGACCTTTTCCCATGTGTATGAATCAGGAACTTGTCATGTGGGCAATCTTTCACAGACAACTGAGAAATGTGACCTTTCGATCGTGTTTGTAACTCAAGAAAGATGTCGCCGTTTCGCTGAT